TACATGCTACTGGAGAGTCCCAAAACAGCCATCTAGCGCTTTGCTGGATGTATGGTGGTTGACACTGGGAGTTTAGCTGCGACGCAGCTTCACAATATACGAAGTCCTGCGCCTTCTGCAAAGGACGTTCATTCGTCTGCATACATATGACCTATGTATTTTCTACAGACCAGCATCCTAAATACACATTGCGTACACGCTGTCAAGAGCATACCCGTCAGACAAGCTCAGAAGGGAAGAGCACCAAACTTTTGTTCACGTAACATGGCGGACTGCTGAGGAACGGTTGTAGCGGCTCCAACAGTGCACGGGACAGGACGATCCAAGCAGGCTGATGAAGCAAACGCTAATGAAAGGATGGACCAAAGGCAAGAAGAAGCTGCCCAAGGAGCTAATCGTTCTTCCACTTTCATGACAAACAAACTGCTCGAGACGGATTAATAATTGAAGGTAACAGGATAGTTGTTCACAAGGCAGTGCAATGTTTGATGCTGAAGGTGATACACTGTGCATATTTAGGAATCAACAATTGTGTGGTACGCACAAGAGGTGATATTATGGCCGGCAATGACCAGTCAAATACGTGGTTACGTATCAAACTGTTTGGCATGCAGGGCCCAAGATGTGCGCCAGCCGCAAGAACCGATGTTGACTCGTTAAGTTCCTGGCAGGCCCTGGCAGATGGTTACGCTGGACAATTTTCCTCATGACGGAAAGTGTTAGTTGTTTGTGGTCGATTATGTCTGTGCCTACTTCGAAATGGATGCTTTTACAACGACTAGCACGCAATTCCTGGTGAACAACCTACGGAGCTAATTCGCTCGGCATGGAATAACCGAAGTGGCGATTTCTGACAACGGACCACAATTCAGTAGTGCTGAGTTCCGCGATTTTAGCAAGCAACGTGGAGCGACGAAACACGCCATCTAATGAGATCGGAGCAAATCCGGTGCAACGACTATGTAGTCGTAGAATAAGAACGTTGCTACTAACCGCTACAGTTCTACTACAAACCGATATGGCGCCGGCCGCTCCTCTGCACGATAGACTACGGAACAGAATTCCAAGGGAAATAAGCACTATAATCGCAGGTCCAAAAGCCTTCCACCTCTAGCTTTAGGAGGTGCTTTGGTGCAACCAGTAACGGAATCAGAAGTACATTGCCGGAAGGGAGTGATTGAAAGACAAGTAGGGGAAAGGAGCTTTGAAGTCAGGACAGAGAGCAACACATTAAATGGAGTCGGGCGTACCGCAGAAATGCACGACATGGAAAGACTCCGCAAAGCAGGGATCTATGGGAGCAGTGAGAATGGATACCTGTTACTCCAACCCAAGCTAAGAAGCGCCCACGCAGTGAAAGACAGCAAGGAAAGTATTGCAACGCCGTTAGGAAAAATGGGAAAGGTAACGATGTGATTGTGGAAGAGTGCAGGGCGAATGGAGCCTGGGACGAACGTTTGAATATTCAAGCATGTCATTATTTCCTTCTCTACGTGTTTTGAGTTTTGCCCCAACATCGTGTTAAGGCAAGGCCTCCACAAGAAGGTAAACCCTGCTATGACCATATCCACTCTTCGCTCTGCACTCAGTCACATTAACCCATCCTGAATGTGTGTTTGACCATGACGCATACCACTGTGAATTTACTCACTGAGCTTGGATATTGTGACGCTTGCCCGATTGGACCGGTTGATCAGTTCATCGATCCTGCGGTTTCAATGTGCCTGTGAATATAGCTCTGTCACTTCGTCCAGGTGAGTGGTGGGTGTCAATACGCTAGTGCTTTGAGTTAGTTAAATTGTTTCTGACTGTTGCAATTTGAACAAAGAGTTGTTGTAGACCTTTTGGCTGGATATTGTTGTGGTTAGTATTTGAGCTGCTACCCTAATCCATTGTAAAAATAGCACCGTACTTATTCACAGCTTTATTTTCGCGGACGATTTATGAGTCACTAAGTCCAAGACCGATTTGTCGGTTACAGTACTCAACATCCAGGATTATTTGTTCTATCTTCAATGCTTGAGCAATGTTATTGTGGTCGGCATGGAACGACGCTGGAAGGATTGACGAAGTTAAGTAAGTTGAACCGTTTAGTGTTATCGACAATTCGGTATTGGCATTTAGCGACTCGTAAACCCCCCGGAGTCAATTGAGAAAACAATGCTGGGATTAACAGAGGTGTATTTTTTTATACAACAGATTAGAGTAACGGATCAAGCAGTAACCACAACATTGCCCAGACCAAAGGCTTAAAACAAATGCTTTTTAAGATGGTAATAATCCGAACCAGTTCAACTCAATGGACTAGCGCACCGACACGTACCACTCATATGTTCATGCGCACGTTGAAACCGCACGACCGATAAACTTAAGCAATCAGTCCACCCGAGCAAGTATCACACCGGCCGAGCGCCGCGAGTGCATTCACCATGGTATGGATCATCGTCAAACCCGCATTCTGGCTAGATCAGTGTCACTGATTGAGGGGCGAACACTGGAAATTGTCATAGCGGGATTTGCGTGCGTGTGGATGGCTTGGCTTGACATGGGCAAAACTCAAAAGACATATGGAGGGAACTAAGGACATGCTTGGATGGTCGAAACGTCCGTAATAGAACCGGTGCGGCACCGATGGACAGGGGCCAATTAGACAAAAGCCGAGCATGCATGACTGATCCGGCCCAGCGCATTGGCGAAACAGCACGCCTTCGGAAAGCGGAAAAGCGGATCGATTGGCCGTACAGTAAGCGGATGGCATACGCCTAAGGCCATGGAAATAACACATGAAGCTGTGGCAGATAGCCAATTGTGGAATCATCGACTAACTTGGCGGACGGCCAATCAGACGCCAGCGAGCAGTCTACCCGTGCCGGCAATAACGAGGTCCAGCGCAACCATGCAATTAGTAAGCGTAGATCAGAAAACGAGCACGAACCCATGGGCTGTGGGAAAGGTCAAAGGCTAGCTTAACAAGGACCAGTCAGTGAACAGACAATAGCAAACTACTGAGTGTAATCCATAAATAACCACTACTCTTCGTACTCGTGAATTGTGTTTGCCACCCGAACTTTCCCCTTGATCTCCGGAGAGTAACACGCCGGTCTTCAGCAATTTATGAGCTCAATAATAAACACACTAATGGAATCCGGACAGAGCAGCATGGTACAGCTAATTTTCCAACATGTTTCAAAATTCTTGTATTAATTTAGATTTATCAGTGCAATGCCAATAACTCGCAAGCTTATGGAAGTAGACATCACATTTGAAAACATTATCTAGCGGATTTTCGACATGCTTCTGTAGGTCTCGAACGGCATGCTTTGAGGAAAATTGCGCTGTCTGAGAATCAAGTCGAGTTGGCACCACTGATTCAGGCCAAATCTTGTAGCGCATGGAAAAACAGAATTTCACACTCGAACTCGAGTAGAGATGAAAACGCGAATCAGTGTTGGGTCGGCGGCAAGTTGAACGCTGAACTTGAACCGTGCGCGTTGTGTTACTGAGCATTAATTAGCACCTCCAATATCGTTGTGTTAGTAGTTGTCTTCAACCTATTTATTGCGCTATGCTATCCCACAATATGAATCCCTCAGTCCGGCAGATCTTGGCATTCTCATTTTGTTGCGGGTTGAACCGGTTTGAGGCGACACAACAGTTTCTGGCAGGCTATTCGTACAGTCAGTGGAAACCACAACAGATTTCTGGCGATTTCTTGCTACAGCGTACCAGATCCGGGGAACGAGGACAGTCAAATGTTAGTTCTTCGTCATCCGTGCGTTGTGTACAACAGCGCGGTCCCATCCTTCAATTGGCTGTCTGACACTATGGTAGTTCTGTGCCCTACTTGCTATTTGATTCTACCGGACAAGCTCATGTGTGCGTATCATCACCAGTAACAACAGCTTCCTTATACCTTTGACCGCTGCTCCTATGGGAAGATACAACGTTTGTTTGACTTGTACACGTCCATTTATTTATTTGTCTACTTCCTTGTTTAGCCATTTACTTATTGCTACGTGCAGGGCAAGTGGAGTTCTCAGCCTGAGAGAAGCCATGAATAAGTAACTTTACAGAGCAAATACAATGGCCCTGAGCATTTTCGTGATCCGTTGTATTAAAGTATGCCTGTTTATAGTTCTTGCCTATGTATATATATATATATATATATATATATATATATATATATATATATATATATATATATATACTTGCAACAGTCTATGAATAGACATAGCGTTATCAGAAACCATGGAAAACCAAAGAAGGTACAGAAATTGTAAAAGAAAACACAACAAAACACAGAAAAGTCCATGGTTTCGTCAGAGGGCGAGATACTACCCGGTTGCCCAAGCCGAAGTAGGGTGTTGACTTAGGGGAAACCACCCCGAGCCTTTGGCCGAATAGTCTGCCCGCAAGGCAGCGGAGCGATTTCAGGGTATCGCGCCCATTGGGAGCCGCTGACTAATTACACAATTCATACGACTTTCGTTTGTTCCTTTGTCAAAAAGGGTCCAGTGCTCCCCAGAATTCCAACATAAAGTTGCTGAAATACAATGATTTGCCAGGATGAAGTAAGGGGCAGTGACTTTATTTAGTGGCGAGTCATATCCACCACGTCACAGGGTTGTTAAACGTACGTATGTGGCTTTTTATAGGGAGAAGGCTGGCCGGGCGAAATCCCACCACGCCCTGGAACACAGTCGCCGAACCACTTACTGGAACGGGAAAATTCCGAACCACCCAGCTGGCACCATGAGGAGGTTGTTCGGCAAGCCAGCCGATAAAAGCACCGGGCGAAGTTCTTTTGAGTCAATGCTGCTAGCATCGCATCAGCCTGCGAAGATATTTCTGTACCCGATACATTTGCAAGACGATCGGGATAACAAATCTCCGACAAAAGCCTTGTGAATAAGGCGGTCCCACTTATTATTTCGATTGCGCGCATCGTATGCAAGTAACTGCTGCCAGCCCTCCGATCGGTAATAATCAATAACCATTTACGAAATGTCACGTGCTTCGTTTGCTTTACTTCTACACCCCCTAAAAGCCAATCCGGGCTTAGGAGTAGCCAATGTTGAGCTCCGCAGATGTTTCGCTTCCACAGAAATAAAGCGGTGCACCTGCTGATGGCAGCAATGTTGGTCATCATTCTAGGAAGATTAATTTCTTTCATTTTGGTTGGATTCAGTATGAGATGTGCCACAGAGCTCCACATCAGCAACCCAAACATTGTCGTTCGTAAGGAGGACTTATGGGAAGCTTTGAACAGCCTCAATGGATCACTGTTTCAAGGTGACCACGTACCGGCGTATAACTGCAGTACCAGCTCTATCAGCTTCAGTAACACACACATGGAAAATGGGCGGCAGCACAAGTTTACCGGAACACAGTTATTTTCTCATCCCCAAGAAGTTGATTTGCTGGAAAAAATATGTCAGTTCCAACAAGGTCAGTCTATACTACAGGGATCATATCGGAGAAGGAATTTTACCATACTTATCAACCACCCGAACATTTGTAACATGCAACGCAATGAAAAGCTCCATCTAATCGTCTTGATTAAATCCAAACCTTCGCACACAATGCGGAGAATGCTTATTAGACGATATTGGGCCAATACTAATTGTTGGGCTGGACGTAATATCAGGCGGGCCTTCTTACTTGGGACCACCGTGAATCAAACAGCGATGATTGCTATAGAAGCAGAAGCTCGAAAGTATGAGGATATCCTGCAACAGGATTTTGTCGACCGCTATCGTAATCTCACTCTCAAGGTGTTTTTTGGACTTCAGTGGGCTATTGCTTTCTGCCCCGAGACAAAGTGGTTGCTAATGTTGGATGACGACATATTTGTCCACACTCGAAACGTTTTGCCGGTTTTAGACCTCCTAAACTCGCTAGCCACCTCCAAACTCCTTATTGGAAACTTCAATGGGGAAAGAACCGTGCTAAGAAATAGGTCAAAGTGGATGATATCTAGGAGTGAATACGCTCATGTGAAGTATCCCATTTACAGCAGTGGCGCATGGGTCGTGATCGGAAGGGATTTGGCTCTGGAACTGTACATCGCGTCTCGCTTCACTCGAATGATACCGTTCGATGACGCCTACATTGGCCTACTGCTCAACAAGCTGCTGTACATACCAGTGTCTATTTCTGGTATATACCTTCACAACCCTAGAGTGCTGAAGCGCAGAGAACTGGAGGATATATTGGCCATACACGGCGTGACCACAGTGGCACGTCAAAAAAGACTGTGGATCCTAACGAGACAGGTTGAACTTTGTACGTCTAAGCCAGGATCTTGAAGTTGGGATAAGTGTTCAAGGTAGCAAGAACAGATCCGCTCCGCTGAGCATGCGATAACAAGAAGACTCGTGTGTACGTTCACATTCAAATCGATCATAAGAATGCCATCAAGTAAGTCGCCAAGTCACAGCCTCATTGCTAGTAGATGCGTGTAACGAATGCTAGCGTGAAAAATAACCTTTCCGTAATTTTGAAGCTCACCCATTCACGCTTTATTTGTCAAAGCTTGCGTTTATTGAAAAAGTTGACGGAAGATTTATAGTTTTATGTTCCCCCACTTGTTCCCCAACAAGAATGTTTGGTGTCGCGCACTGAAAACGACAAGATATACAGCTGTGCTCAAACCATACACCATCATCGAGAAGCCCATCTAACTGACTAGACCGTCTGCAAACGTGGTTGAGAAGAGGCTACTAGACGAAATTGCATACCAAAGTGAATGGCACTTAAATGGCAATCCAGGTAACGCACATGGATATCTACCCAAATCATTTTAGTCGCTATTTAGAAAAATCAGAATTCCAAATCGGTTTGAACAGACAGTATTCTTATATTCCATTGTGCCACCATGGTTTACTTACATTGATCTTCTGTTCGTTATGGGCTGCGGCCAACTTAAAACACGTAAATCCTTAGTTCGAATTTGACTGCCATTCATGAGAAAAATACGAATCAGCACATTTGGTTCCACCGCGATTCTAGCATAGCAGATGGAGACTACATTGTCCGAGCGTCTTTGCTTCTACTTTCTGTGAAACACTGTGCAGCATCGTCATTATGCAATGAAGATCATATGGGGAAAGTGTCAGCCCAAAGAATGGTAAATCGCACATCTCATCTTGTCTCTACCATATTCCTAAATCTGCAATTGGTCTTAGACGGAATGCTCGAGAATAGGATTGAGCACATTCGAGCAGCAAATTGCATCCATTTATTTGTGAATGTATTCTTCCGTTTATCTTTTCAACTACCTTTTGAAAAGTGCATCTTTTATTGCATGCAGTGGATCTGTTATCTCCCACCCTCTCCTCCCTCCCTGTTTAGCTCAAACTTCAGCACCAGTTCGGCACCTGGATTTACCGGCTTTCACCAATTTTCTTTTCCCCTTCTCACTACTGATGTCAACGACCATTTACATATTCCCCGTCAGATTTCTTTACCATACAAGTCTTGTCAAAACGCTTAGACAGTTAGGCTAAGCATTAGAAAAGCAATTGAATCGGCCAGAACCACTTAAATTGTTACCGAGGAGTAATCGCCTTTCTCCATGGGTCGCTCTCTTGAATCCGTCTTCACGCATAACGTCGAAAGTAAGCGCGGACTGTTGGAATCAAATAAAGCCGCGGAAGCACATAGGCTTCATCCAGCGTATTTCAACCTCGAGGGACCATGTCTCATGGATGAGTTATTCATCATCGACATAATCATCATCGTCAACATCATCATCATCATCACAACCATCCTCATCATCATCATCATCATCATCATCATCATCATCATCACAACCATCCTCCTCCTCCTCCTCCTCCTCATCATCATCATCATCATCAACATCATCATCATCATCATCATCATCCTCGTCATCATCCTCATAATCATCAACATCAGCAGCACCATCATCATCACCATCATCATCAGCATCAGCACCATCACCATCATCATCATCACCATCATCATCTTCAGCATCAACATCAGCAGCGGCAGCAGCAGCAGCAGCAGCAGCCGCAGCCGCAGCATCATCATCATCAGCATCATCCTCATCAACATTGACCTCATCATCATCATCATCATCATCATCATCATCATCATCATCATCAAACACAACAACAACATCATCATCATCATCAGCATCACAATCATCCTCCTCCTCCTCCTCATCATCATCATCATCATCATCATCATCATATAATGCCATCAGTATATATTTGCAAAAGTCTGCTAACAGACATAATGCCATCAGAAACCATGGGATTCAAACGAAGGTACAGTATTAGTAAAATAAAACACAACACAGCAATGTCCATGGTTTCCTCAGAGGGCGAGATACTACGCGGTTGCCCAAGCCGAAGTAGGGTGTTGACTTAGGGGAAACCACCCCGAGCCTTTGGCCGAATAGTCTGCCCGCAAGGCACCAGAGCGAACTCAGGGAATCTCGCTCATTGGGAGCCGGTGACTGATTGCACAGTTCATACGCCTTTCGTTTGTTCCTTTGTCAAACGGGGGCTCAATGCTCCCCAGAAGTACAGCATAAGGCTGCTGGAATACAGTGCTTCGCCAGGATGAAGCAAGGGGCAGTGACTTTATTTAGTGGCGAGTCACGTCCGCCACGTCACAATGTTGTTAAACGTACATATGTGGATTTTATAGGGAGAAGGCTTGCCAGGCGAAAACCCACCACGTGCTGGAACACTGCCGCCGAACCATTTGCTGGAACGGGAAAATCCCGAACCACCCAGCTGGCACCATGTGAGGTTGTTCGGCAAGCCATCATCATCATCATCATCAGCAGCAGCAGCAGCAGCAGCAGCAGCATCCTCCTCCTCCGCATCGTCGTCATCAATACTCGTTATCTAAAGTTAAGGAACACACCTCAGGGAATGTACCGCAAGAAAGGATAAGACACTAAAATATGCCAGAGTAAAATTCTAATTCAAGCACTATAATGTTAAACACCATATTGTGCATTTCGTATGAGGTTGGTATTGGAGTGGGAATCTATAAGGGGGGAGTGACAACGGAACTCACAACACCGACGCCATTTGGACCGGCTCCTAGCCATACCAGCAAGTGTGTCCAACCAAACTTGTTCATCGTCCTTAGGACCCCAACAATGCAGTGAGGATGCAGCAACAGACGCCAACTTCGAAGTGAGGGTTTTCATTCTTTCGCTTGGCCTCCTCCTTCTCTTCCACCCGCACCTCGATCGGCCAACTTTGCACGTCGTATGAGTCTTCGGGCTGGTATGCGCAACACGTGGCCCAGCCATCGGAGCCCGGTGCGAGAAATAATGGTGCTGAGAGGCTCACTCGCTCTTCCTGCACCAAATACATGACGCCAAACAAGCTCATTGCGCACGCGGTGCTCCCACCAGACATGAGTTTGGCTGCGAAGGCAGCGATGATCGAATGTGACAAGCCACTTTACGTCTGTCGACCTGATGGGTCAGATTTTACAACAGTATAAGAAGCTTGAATGGACGACTGCGTTATAAACACCGCCATTCATGGCGAGAGTAATGTCGCGTCTGCATCACAGGTGGCGAAGATTCGCAAAAGTACCTCGAGCTTTTACTATACAGTTCATAACCTCATCTTCGATCCCACGGGCGCTTATATAGCTGACTAGGTATTTGAATTCCAGAATGACTTCTAGCAGATCACCACCAAGGGTCCGAGCATGGACGGGTCCCTACCAATCTTTGAGAAATACTTTGCATTTCGATGGAGCAAAGCATAATCCAAAAAGATTGACAGCCTGCGCTAATCGGTCCAGTGCTTTTTGACATGTTTGTGATCTGTCCCAGATTAGGGAAATATCGTTCGCATACTCCAAATCAAGAAGTCACTCACCAGGAAGTTGGTCCACACCTTTTAAGTCGTATCCAGCAAACTCTGATTTCAAGACTTCTCCAGGGGTGAATTTAAAGAGGAAAGTTGACAGCGTACAACCTTGTCTCACAATGCTTAGAGATATTGAAGGGCGGCGACAGTTTATCATAAACTGTCACACTGCCCGAACTATGCGCGTACAGCGCTTGGATAATATTTGCGTATTCGTCGGACATGTCTTTCCTTAGTAGATGATGCCAAAGTACATATCGATCGACTAAGTCGAAGGTACCTTTTATGTCGAAAAACACGATAACCGTGGGTCGCCAATAAACATGGCTGTGCTTCAGCAATTGGTACAAAGTGCAGATATGACCGATGCAGCCCCGACTTCGAAGAAACCCGGCTTTCTCTTCACGGATCTTGCCTTCACGAGTGTCAGTCAGTCTGTGGAGAATGAAAGACTCAAGCAAGTTAGAGACAGCCGAGACCGAACTGATTCCACTATGATTACCACACTCCGAAAGAGAGCCACCCTTGGGAATGGGGATTATGGCGAACCGGCTACAGTCTGCCATACACTCGCGCTCTTGCTGCTACGATGCTATACATTCATGTTACTATACCAACTCCAAAAGCACATGCCACTATTTTACCTACCCTTCCCTTGTACCATTCACACTCATTTTTACCTTATTCCTCTCTGGCGATCAACCCCAACTACACTGATGGACATGTTCCCGTGACATCTGTCAACTCAACCACACAGTGCTCAACAGAGAGCTGACAGTCCCAAAGTCTCCCATTTTCGCTCCTGCAACCCGGAACGCAGTTCAAAGTTGCAGCCTTCAATGTACTCACATTACTGCAGATCGGTCGGCAAGCTGGACTTGCACACACGCTAGAGACCTTTGGAAGTGATATCTGCTGCCTGAATAAAACACAACTCTAGGACTCTAACTCAGGCTACCAGCTGGCGTCACCGCTCCACCCACGCACCCGCTTCCATCTACGCCTCTCTGGTGACGCCGAGTCTGCCGTATCTAGGCAAGCTGGTATTGGAATCGTCCTCAGTGCTAGGGCCGAGACTGTTTTGATTGACTGGATTTCGATCAATAGTCGCCTTTGTGCGATGAGGCTCCATGGCTCTTGTAAAGTTAGCAGACGTCGAGTCGAAAAGCGTGCTTTCTTCGTGATTTTTGCCTACGCGCCCACTGACTGTACCTCGGACACGGTCCAAGACCAGCTCTAGCAGAACCTTCATGAGCTGCTCCTAAGAGCTGCTAAAACAGGCATCATTGTTTTAGCATTAGAGTTCAACTCGCGGTCGTCTGCTGCCATGTGACCGCCACCTCGGGGGACCGCATGGATATTTTGATGTTCGCTCAGACAATGGAGAGAGACTGCTCAGTCTGTGTGCTTCTCATCAGTTTTTCCTCTCCATCACGAGCTTTCGTCATCCTGGACTCCAGTAGGCCACGTGGCGCCCCCAATCATCAACCCAGCGCTGGTCACAGATTGACCACATAGCTATAAGTCGTAGGTGGCGCGGCAGCGTACGCGATTGCCAATCATTTTGGTCAACGTGCGTCGATACCGATCATGCATTGGTATGTGCGACCGTTTGCATGCATTTCGATGGTTCGCCTAAGTCAAAACACACCAGACTGAACACGTACAAGTTGGAGGACCCAGTGGTGAAGAAGGAGTATCAACAAAGGCTTCGTGAAAATCTCGCTCTCTCACTCTTGATGTTGATCAACACTGGTCAAGTCTGCAACAAGCCTTGCTGTCGGCCGGGTTGTCCACTTGTGGCCTCGCTCGCTCCACTCCCAAAAGCTGGACCTCAGGAACATCTTAGAAATCGCTCGATCGCTGACGGGCAGTGTCTGTTGGTGTAGAGTACAACGAACACCGCCGGTCTATTTCACAACAGCGGAAAGCAAGCCTTCGCTCTGCTCGTGAATCTTGATGGTCAAAATATGCTGATGAGACGAAACCTGCTGCGTCAGCTGGTAACTTCTGCCGTCTATATTGCATCATCAAGGTCACCGGTTGCAATTCCCACACTATCAGTCAGGCGATTGGCGAATCAGACGGCACCAATTCAACCATCCAACACCTCCATCCCCAATGGATGATGCTTGGCCTGTCTCCACAGCCCCACGCCTAACTGAAGAAGTGATCCGAAATGCAAGCCAATCTTTGAAACACCACAAGGCGCACGGTCCCGAGAGCATACCACCGGCTCTATTCAAAGATGGCGGGAGTGTACTTGTCAGCGAAATCCTATCGCTGTTCACAAAAATTTGGACTGAGGAGAAGGTTCCGAACTCATGGAGAATCGGTCAGTTTTCCGATTCACAGGAAAGGGTTCTCGCGACGATTGCTACAACTACCGCAGAATCACGTTAATCTCTGTCGCATCCAAAATCTTCGTGTCGGTCCTACTTCACAGGCTTTTAACGACTAGAGAGAAGTTTTCCCGAGAAGAACAAGCCGGATTTCGTCCAGGCCGCGGCTGCATCGACCAAATCTTCACGCTTCGCCAACTTCTCGAATTTCGTCACATCCACCGGCGGCCAACAATGGTAGTGCTTTTGGACCTCCGAGAGGCATGTGATTCAGTAAGTAGATTGCGTTGTGGAACCGTTTACTGAAGAAAGGTGTGACCGCGAAGTTTGTAACCGTCCTGAAAGAAC